GCGTCCCCCCCGCCCCCGGCCCCGGCCTTTTCCCCGCAGGCTCCAGCGAGGTTTGGTGAAAAAAAAAAAAACCACCAAAACCCTAACATTTCAGGAGAAGAAAGGCAGGAAGGAAATAAAAAAAGCAGACAGAGAGTGGACTACCTCGATCGGGAGGTTTCAAGGTATGCTTTTGTTTGTAACTATCTGAAACACAGAAAGAGAGTCGTGAGAAAACACACACACACCAGGTCACGCACACGCACCCGTGCCAAGCGACAGACGGACTCTTAAAACAAGAAAAAAGGGGGGGAAAAACACAACTACTCGGGGTTCGGGGTGGGTTTTTTTTGGAAGAAGCTAGTGTCAGCTCTCGCAGGACAGGAGGAAGAAGAGAGAAAGGTAATTTCAAAGCCTCGCTTGCCCTTTTTTGCTCCGTTTGCCCTGTTAAATTGCTTCACCCCCACCACACCCCCCCGCCCCTTCCCCAGCTTGAGGAGGAGGAGGGAGGTGAGGAGGAAGCAGCGGCAACCCTGGGCTCGCAGAGGAGCGGGCCAGCAAGGTACGGCCTCGGAAATAAAATCCCCCGCCCCCTAGAGCTGAGGAAGTTTTTAGCCAGAGCCAGGACCAGCGCACGGCGTTGCGTTTTCACCGCTACAAACTCATTAAGTGGCTTTAACGAGGCACGATAGCGCGAGGGTCGGGGCGGAGGGGGGCGGGGAGGGAACGACTACGGCCGGCTTCAAAACCAGCCTGACGGACACAGATCCAACTCGAAAGCCGGCTGAGAAAATGGGGGGGCTCTTTTCAACCTTTGCGGGGGGCCGTTTGCAAGACCGGGAGAGGTTTTATCCTCATTTCTACGTACCGGGTGGCTGCAGAGCCCTTCGCTCGGGGCGAGAGGACCGCGTTCCCGGTGGGAAAACTCCAGCCATCTTCGACCGTCGGAGGAGGGCTGAGAGTCCGAGGGGTTCAAAAACACCCTCCCCCGGATGCGTAAATCTACCTTTTTGAGGTTTAAAACCCAAATCCCAGCGGAAAAAACGATGGATCCCAAAAGCAACGCAGCCTGGCTCCGCTCCCGGGCCCTTAAGCGGCGAGGAGAGGTTTTTAGTACTCACTGTCACAAGCGTAGGGTTTATCCCGGTCTTCTAATATAGCCGCGTCCAGTTTCTTGCGAGCCCCTCCGACACCTTTGCCCTGGGAAAAAACAAGGGGAAAAAGCCAAGGTTTAGGCAAAATTGTGGCCCAGAAGGCTCCTGGGTGGTGGGGAGGACAACACCGGTGATCCGGCGTCGGAGAAAAGCGCGATCCAACACTGCCACGTAGTGGGTACAGCCCGAAATGGCTGTCGGATGCGAGCAGCGAGGACCGCTGCGTGGGGCGGAAGGCATCGACGGATGACCCAAATCCCTCGGGATCCTCAGCGGGTCTTTCCCGCTTTGGGAAGGGGCAGATCCACGCGAGGTCTCTCTGCCATCCTCTCGCCACGCAGTCTCTCTCGCGCGGTAGGTGGTTTGGGGTGACTAACGTTCGTTAGTGGCTAACGAACATGAGTTACTCAAGCCCCCGGGGTGTGTTTTCTGCTCGTCCTGCCCACCAGGTCAAGCACGCCCGAGTTTTCCCCACCGTGAGGTTCAACGCGGACACGGTCGACGCCCCCGGCAGGCGTCGGGGGCTGTTTCGGCACCGGCAACGTCTCGAATTTGCCGGGAATGGCCACCAAAACAACGCCGGGACCCAGCCAGACCCACCCGGCTGCCCTCACCTTGGCTTTCCCCTTCCCTCTCCGCTTGGGCGTATCTTCTTCGTAGTCTTCGTCATCCAAATCGTCCAGGAAGTCATCCGGCTCAAGAATCCGCTAGGGAAGAAAGGGGTTATTGCAGACAAAACCTCGGCACGGATCGAGGGAAAAGGGGGAAAAAAATCGGGGAGCGAGATACGTCAGCGCGGCCGCGGGTCACCCGTCGGCAGCCGAATCCATTTCGAACCCGTAATACTGAAGGAGGAGAACGGATGTGAAATTTTTGGGGAGGGAGAAGGGATCTGGTACATTTTATCCCCCCCAAAAGTCACAGAAGGGCCCAACACGGCGTGAAGACGCTTGGAAAAAAAAAAGCCATCAAGGAAAAGGCAAAAAGAGACGAGGTTTGGAAAAAGCCCAGGCTTAGAAAAGCCCAGGAAGGGCAAAATACGGGTTTTTTTTGTTTTAGAAAAACTACACCGCAGTATCGCACGCCTTGCTCTGCTCTGTGCTTATTTGGGGGGGGGGATCTATTAAACTGCAGCCGTTGGCGGGTAAGGAGGTGAAGCGGAAGCCTGCGGGATACGGCCTATCGTCAGAGCGGTCGGCTAACGAAGTGGTCTAAAGAAAACCAACTCGCCTCGCAAGAACCGCAACAGGAGAAAGGCTTCGGTGGTGCAGGACGTCCCCTCCAGGCTGAACCGGGGGCTAATCCGTACCGAGCCGGCCTGCGATCCGCTAAGCCACGGCTTTTCCACCCCACGGATCAGG